TTTATAAGACTAGGTTTGGGCTTATTTATAAGGCTATGTTCAGTCTTATTTATGAGAGTGAAAAGTGTACATTCTGGAAGGGTTTTAAATCTTGCTGCCCAGGGAGTGAGATGCTGGTCAACCCTGGTGGTACCTTCTTTTCTCCAGCCAGGCATTTAGCACAGTGATTTAAAGTCCTGTGGCATCTCCAAGCCCTCTAATGGTAAATATAAGGGACAAATGGATTAATGCTTAAAAAGTGGGAAAAAATACCTGAATATACTTTTGTCTTTCATTCAGTGATGTTGGATCCTAACAGTCAGGCATCTGTATGTTCTTAAATCTATGATGAAAGACTGAGTCTTTTTTAAAGCAGAATGGGTTTTAGGTGTTTAGACCTTAAGAATAATGGAAATTGAAAGTCAGGTTCTCATCTGGCATGATGAAGATTCAGCTCTTTTCAAAGACACGGTGCACATTGGCACTTGAGAGAAGTCTTAGTTATGGCCAAATCCTGTGTGGAAAGGAAGGAGGAGGGAAGGCTGAGCCAGAAGCTGCTCCTGGTTGGATCCCCTTTACAATCTCTGCAACGAGCTGTGGTAGAAAATGCTTGCAAAGGATGTTCTAAAGTACCACTTACACCCTGCTTTTGTGGTGAAGATCCAACAGAGCTGTTGTGCTGTCAAGCCCTGATGATTAAATTACTTTTTCCATCCCATCTTCCTCAGGTTCACCTTATTAACTTGACATTTCAGCTCAATTATTTGCTCTTCTTCACACCCTCCTGGTGCCACTTGTCATTCAGCCTCTATTCAGACAAGCCTGGCTGGCCAGAGGAATGTGTGCAGGGTGTTTGCTATGGCTATTGCAGGTGGAGGTAACCCTTTAGGTTCCTCTACATATGGTGATCTGACCATTGCTTGATGTGGAGGAAGGTTCTTCCTCTTAAATTTCTGTCAGTGGGGCAGAAAACATTCCTGGGTTTGACCTCCCTCTGGGATGAGCATCTCCAAGGCTTCTCCAAGGGTTGCAGCACTCTGTGCAAGCTCTTCCTGATGTGCAAGCGTGAGCTACTTCTTGGGATGTTCTCATCCTCTTCCAAGGTGTAAGGAGCTCTCTCCCTGATGCTCAGCGTGGATGAGGGTCCCAGGGCATGGCTGCAGAGTTTTGCTTTCTCATTCTCTGCTTCCATCTGGGTCCTTGCTTTGAAAATAGCGACTATGTTAACACCCCCAGAGCGTGAGCAGCAGCTCAGGGAGGGGATCCTGCCCCTCTGCTGCCCTCTGGGGAGACCCCCCCTGCAGCCCTGATCCAGCTCTGGGGCAGCAGCACAAGAGGGACGTGGAGCTGTTGGAGCGAGGCCAGAGGAGGCCATGGAGATGCTGTGAGGGCTGGAGCAGCTCTGCTCTGGAGCCAGGCTGAGAGAGCTGGGCTGGGGCAGCCTGGAGAAGAGAAGGCTCCTGAAGGGGAGACCTTAGAGCAGCTCCAGTGCCTAAAGGGGCTGCAGGAAAGCTGGAGAGGGGCTTGGGACAAGGGCCTGTAGGGCCAGGCCAAGGGGAATGGCTTGAACCTGCCCGAGGGGAGACTGAGCTGAGCTCTTAGGCAGAAGCTCTTCCCTGTGAGGGTGCTGAGGCGCTGGCACAGGGTGCCCAGAGAAGCTGTGGCTGCCCCATCCCAGGCAGTGCTCAAGGCCAGGTTGGACACAGGGGCTTGGAGCAAGCTGCTCCAGTGGAAGGGGTCCCTGCCTGTGGCAGGGGTTGGAGCTGGAGGAACTTTAAGGTCCCTTCCAACCCAAACCAGGCTGGGATTCTATGAAAACTACTTGGTCTTAGCAAAATCTCAGGTGTCTGTTGGAAGTAATGAAGAAAAATCACAGTCAGGTAGCAACGTGCTTCCCACTGCGGCTGGGGATGAGGAATTGGCACAAGCAGTGTTTTAAATAACCAAATGTGTCAGAAGGTGCCCAAATAAATGATGAAAAGCAAAAATAACCCCATGGCTCTGCTAAACTTTATGGTTGCCATGTTTCATCTTAATTTTAGCAAAGATGTTTGTTTGGAGGTGAGTAATGAATGCTCCTGGAGCCTGGGAGATGAAGTACCCTGCCCCGAAATGCATGGGTCTGCTCTTTTTGTTTTAAATAAGAAATGCTTTTTTCCCCCTCCTGTTGAAGATGAATGTGGCCTGAAGATCTAAAACAACTTTGCAAAGCTGGTAAAAACCCTTTCCAGCACATACATCAAACATGTACAATGCGGGGATAAAACACTGGCACACGTTGCCCAAGGAGGTGGTGGATGCACCATCCCTGGGGATATTCAAGGTCTGGCTGGATGTGGTTCTGGGCAATCTAGGTGAAGATTCCTTGCTCATTGCAGGGGGTTGGACTGGATGAGCTTTGAAGGTCCCATCTGTTCTGTGGTCCCATCCCATCTGTCCCGTCCCAAACTGTTCTGTGATTCTGTGCTTGGCTTACCTGTCCTTGCTGCAGTACTGAAACTTGTGATGCTCAGCTTGGAGCACTGCGTAACCCCCTCGCTGTAATCCCAGTCTAAATACAGTTTGTGAAGTGAGATCTCCCAAGCCACTCCTTGTTTTCAGGAAAGCGTGTTAAAGCCTTTTGTGTGCATCTGAACACATAATCTCCTGCAGAAGCTGTTTTCAGGCAGCACCATTATCCAGAAATACAGGATATATATGCAAGCATCAAATCATTCCCTGCAGCATCAGCTGGTAGGTTTGTGTGAGTCTGTGCTCTTGTGCCAAAGGATTTCCCCGTGTTTATGTCTTGTTGCAGACCTGTGCCAATCTTACCTGCCAAATTTTACCTACCCATTTTGGATGGCACACAGCAAGACTAGAGGAATGAGTGGTTGGAAATAGGGAAGAAAGGTGTTTAGGTTGAAAAATAGATGTCCCCATGTGTTCAGTGCCCCTAAGTGATGCTTGGGGTTACACCACTGGGAGTTGGCTCTTCTGACCTCTGAGATTTGCTGCCGTGATGCAAAATAAATTCAGTGAGAATAGAAGAAACCTCTTTTGTAGGTGCTGTGAGGGATGGTCTTGAGTTTTTAGTGGTCCTTTGGGTTTTCTTAAGTGCTTCACTAAACACAGTGTGCTCCCTGCTTGCTCCTGAGCCTGGTCCTCTGGAGGTCCGGTTTTCTACAGGGGAGAGCATCATCCTCTGGCCATGCTGGGATGGGCCAGTCAGCACCTCTTGGAAGGGTCTTTTCTGTCCCCTCATGGTGTCTCAAGAATCTATAGGTCTTTATGGAGGACCTCAGTTCTCCATCAGCTTCCCTCTCTTGTAGCAGCTGTCCTGGTTGCTGATGGTTTAACCAGGTCAGGGTGTAGGTACTTGAGCTTGCTTACAGCCTTTCACAGGACATAAAGCTTTCTGAGGACCCGTCTCCTTTTTTCCTGTTCCACAGCCAATCTCTACCCCCACCATCATTCCTTTTCTCAATATGACTCTTCTTAAAACATCCTAAATCCTTAGGGGCATCCTGGGCTTCCTACCTGACAGTTCAGTTGTGTCAATGCAGGGGCTGAAATTGCAAATCAGCTGTTTTCAGGGTTCACAGTTTAGAAGTTCAAGTATTCCAATTCAGGCTTCTGTCCTGATTACTCTTTTCTTGCCTTGCAGTAGTTTCTCAATAGGAAAATGGAAGGCTTACCTGGGGTAAATCTTCTTGCTGCAAACTGTCCATATGGTTTATAGCTTGAGATTTCAGTTGTTCCCCAAAAATGAAAGATACGCATCATGGCTCAGAGAAAATGTGTCAGAAATTATTAGCTGACACTGTTCTGAAATTCCTTTATATCTGACACTCATCACTTCACATACTTCCATTATAGATAGGAGCATTTTGAGGGATTTAAGTAGTTTCTTCCTGTGTGGCAGCCTTGGCTGCGTCTTCCTCCCCATCAATCCCCTGTTTAATTGCTTCCTACTAGGGATAGTCTGGGAGAAGGCTCTGAGGTCTCCCCTTGAGGAGCCTTCTCTTCTCCAGGCTGCCCCAGCCCAGCTCTCTCAGCCTGGCTCCAGAGCAGAGCTGCTCCAGCCCTCGCAGCATCTCCATGGCCTTCTCTGGCCTCGCTCCAGCAGCTCCACGTCCCTCTTGTGCTGCTGCCCCAGAGCTGGATCAGGGCTGCAGGGGGGGTCTCCCCAGAGCACAGCAGAGGGGCAGGATCCCCTCCCTGAGCTGCTGCTCACGCTCTGGGGGTGCACCCAGCACACGGGGGGGTTCTGGGCTCAAGCACTCACTGAAGCTGGGTCATGGGGAGCTTCTCCTCACCCAGCATCCCTAAGTCCTTCTCAAGGCTGCAAACTACATCCAGGTTCTTGAGGTTATTCCCCACTACCCAGAACAGGCGAGCAATCCTGGCCATGTCAATACAAGTGGCTTCTTCACTCACCTCCTTGCTGGGATGCTTCCTTCTCCTTAGTCCCTTGTGGCACATGGTGCCACATGGTGCTGGAAGGGATGAACAGTGTCCACATGCTGGTGACGCTGTTGTCACAGCGGTGTGGCCCCAGCTCTCTCCTCCCTTGTAGCCAAGGCTAAACCTTGAGCTATGAGCCTCTGCTGTTGGAAAGGGGATTTGAAATCCCTGTATGGCATATATGTGGACACTGGTTCAGTTGTAGACTGGAGTGTTGAATTGCCATCAGCACTATTTTGACCTGTCAACAAGGATACTTCAGGCAGTCTATGTAGGATGTTGAATAAAACCATGGTGTGTTTTCTTACTTAGGATGTGATAATGAGAGATACCTAGAGCTCTAAACACCAGGGTTCTCCTGTATTTGAACTACTCCTTGGCACTCTAGACACAAGGTCTAATCCTGCTAGTAGCAATGGAACATGATTCCGTTTAAGGATGATGATTGCAAGAGTGAAGGTTCCATAGCAGATGGAGCGTGTTGAAGGTGTTGGACTGGTGCATCCTGGTCTGGAGGAGTTCCTCTTGCACATTGTGCTGGATGGCCTTACTACAAGTGTCTCTCTCCTCCGCAGGGCAAGGTGGCACAGACGGCGTGCATGTCGGCGTGCAAGCACCTCTCCACCTCGCTGATGCAGCTACTGCTGGAGGCCGAAGTGCGGCAGCTGACGCTGGGCGCCCTGCAGCAGTTCAACCTGGACGTGGAGGAGTGCGAACGTAAGATACCCAAAGCATCTCGTTTCCCTTATTTCACTTTGCTCACCTGTGTGTCAGGACCCAAGCCCCAGGGCTCTTAATGATGCCAAGTGTTTGGGGCTGGTGAACCTCTGCAAAGGTCACTGGTACTGTGCACAGTTACACTTGATGATATCTTCAGGACAGAATAGCCTGGTCAATTCTAAGAGATGGAAGTTTTATTCTTCCTTTTTCTCTTTAATGCAGCCTTCATGCTTTCATAGAATAGAATCATAGAATCAACCAGGTTGGAAAATACCTTTAAGCTCATCAAGTCCGACCTTTATCCCAGCACTGCCAAGACCACCACTAACCCACAGCACTGAGGGCCTCGATTTTGAACACTTGCAGGGACAGTGACTCCAGCACTGCCCTGGGCAGCCTGTGCAATGCTTGATCACCCTTTTATTGAAGAAGCTTTTCCTGGTATCCAACCTAAACCTCCCCTGGCACAGCTTGAGGCCAGAAGAACATTTCCAGACCATCCCTGCTTTTTGAGATGGAGCATTATAAAAATAGGAGTGGGTGAAACATGCAGAGGACTAACAAAAATCACGTTTGCTTATGCCTCTTTCTGAAAAGAGTAACTGGGCTTCTGTTATCTCCTGACCTCAGCTGTTTGTCTTCTCTGTCTGCTCCAGGCAATTCTTATAGAATCATAGAACCATAGAATAGTTAGGGTTGGAAAGGACCGTAAGATCATCCAGTTCCAACCTCCTGCCATGGTCAGGGACACCTCACACTAAACCATGGCACCCAAGGCTCTGTCAAGCCTTGACTTGAACACCACCAGAGATGGAGAAATTCTTTCTCAAAGCAAACTCTTATTTCAAAGTTACTGTTACAGAGATGTCTTGTGATAAAATGACTACATCCTTTCAGAGGTGTGCATGTGGTGCCAGCACCAGGGCTTTGCTCTCAGCCCTGGTCTTTTCTGCTCATCTGACTTGCAGCTGAATTAGCTCTGGAATCCGAAGATTTCCCTCAAGTTGCTTTTTATCCTCCTCAATAAAAAGGCTAAAAAAGTGTAGGATGAACCTGACAAAACTAGTTTAATAATTAAGGTAAAGCAAGGTGAACACATTTCTGCACAGGAGCCTCTCTCCCTTACGAGTAGGATGGATTTGTTGTTGGCATTAATGTTAGGATGGAATAGCTATGGAAAACACAGAACTTGATAGAGTTGATAAAGAGTTCACAAAATCCTTGATAAATTATTTTGGAGGAAGTGGGGGTTTTTTCCCCAAATATCTGCCTTTCAGTTGAGCTGGAGCTCAGGATATATCCTGCCTAAATAGCAGTGAGTTTGCTTTTCCTATCTCTGATAACCTGGTCTTGTGGAAGGTGTCCCTGCCCATGGCAGGGGTTGGAACCTGATAATCTTAAGGTCCTTTCCAACCCAAACCGTTCTTGATTCAGTAAGTCAGTGAAGTCAGTTGTGTTGGTTTCTTCATCATCTGTCACTTAACACTCTCAAAAGATATTCTTCCACCCTTTATAAAAGGTGTTACTGGTTGTGTTTTAGTTCAGCTGCAGCCATCAAGAGTGAGATGAAATTTCTACCTGAGAAAGGTCACTCAGTAAGAATTCTGGTGTTTGCAAGGAGTATATTTAATTTTTTTATGGCCTTTGCCAGTTTCCAGCACTCAGCTGAATAGGTTGGGAGAAGGATCCCTGTTTAATCATAGAATTCCAGGCTGGTTTATGTTGGAAGGGACCTTAAAGCTCATCCAGTCCCAGCCCCCTGGCATGGGCAAGGACACCTTCCACTGGAGCAGCTTGCTCCTCAGTGCATCACATCCAGCAGCTATACCATATGTTGCAACACAAGCACTGCCTTATTTAATTGTCAGCAACACCTTCATCCCTAAATTCTTGCTGTCTAATTTGTGTCCCATCAACGTGTTGGGGCTGCAGCAGTAGCAGTTGTGTTCCCAGTCAGTGTCCAGAGGGCCAGGCGATGTTACTGAGGATAATGGGCAGCATTTGTCATTAATAATAGTTTCCTTCTCTTTCTTTTGGCTGCCAATAGATTTGCAACCCTGCAGTTTTCTGCCCCATCCGTTAACGTGGGTCACTAAGCAGCATCTCTTCCCTAAAAGCCCTTGATGGATACGTAAAACGGATGGCTTTTAATATCAGGTTTAAAAGCATGATTCCTTAAATTCCAAGTGTTTTGTGAGACAAAACCAGGAGCACTCAGACATTCAAGAGCAGGTGACGCCAACCTGAGCGTTGGGCAGGCGACCTGCTCCCCCCGCAGCCCCTTCCCAAGGTGCCGTCACAGGCAGGGAATGGAGACGGATGCCGGTGCTGTAACCTTCCTATCCATCACTGTCAGCCCCCAGATCAGTAAACCCAGACAAAGTCTTTTACTTGCCTTTTTGGCAACAAACCACGTTCCCTCATTGCTGTGGGTTTCTCTGGTGGCTTTGCTGACCCTAGGAATAATTATAGTTCTAATTTACAGAAGCAGTGCATTAAGATTTTTGTTTTAGGAAAAGCCAATCCCAAGAGTGAACTGGTGTATTCACAAAATATTCCCATTTTTAAGGTTTTTGTTTAGTTTTCTGTGTATTTGGGGTTTTTTTATCCTTCTCCTGAAAGCCTAGGTATGCATCTCAACATCCTTATTGTACCAGTTGCATATTCAACTTTGTGTCTTTGCCTCCAGCCCTTTTTCTCTCCCCAGACACCAGAGCCTTCCCTAGGTTAGCAGCTCTATCATCTACTTATCGTGTTAAAATAGGATTTTCTAGCTGGTTAGAGCACTTCTAGTGAGGTCTGTGATGTGGGAACAGGGCTTCAGAGTTTCAGTCTTGGAGTTTATTAGGCTTTTCTTTTAATCTCTTATGAATGCCAAAGGTATAAGCTGGTTAAGAGAGTGGTGAGGCAAATTAATGAAAGGACTTAGTTGCATATTAAGCATGGTTTGAGGGTGATGCAGATAATTTGCTCTGTATTAAGGTAGATAAAATACACGTTATAAGAATATGGGTTTCTATACACAATAGATAACAATTGTAGTGGTGAAAAAGATGCTGGCTTAGGCTTGTAACAAGACACCCATAAATTCTACAGAGTTGTGGGTTTGTAAAATATTGCTTGATTTATTAATATTTACTCTAATATTAGCATAAAAAGGGAATGGCTGCAGGAAACTTTGCATTCGGTTGAGATTTGCAAGCCTGGGTGGTGGTCAGGTGAAGGGGTTGTGATGGGATCATTTACTTGCACTAGAAACACCCCCTGATAGAAACGTGCTTGTTTTGCATTTTCAAAGCAGTGAATACAGTTTATGAATGTTACGACCTGCAGAAATAAAGGTTTTTGAGAACTCAGACTTGTTTAGCCTGGAGAAGAGAAGGCTTAGGGGAGACCCTATAACAGTCTACAGGACCTAAAGGGGCTGACAAGAAATCCAGAGCTTTGGACAAAGGCCTGTAGGGCCAGGCCAAGGGGAATGGCTTGAACCTGCCCGAGGGGAGACTGAGCTGAGCTCTTAGGCAGAAGCTCTTCCCTGTGAGGGTGCTGAGGCGCTGGCACAGGGTGCCCAGAGAAGCTGTGGCTGCCCCATCCCTGGCAGTGTTCAAGGCCAGGTTGGACACAGGGGCTTGGAGCAAGCTGCTCTAGTGGAAGGTGTCCCTGTTCGTGGCAGGGGTTGGAGTTGGATGGGATTTAAGGTCCCTTCCAACCCAAACCAGGCTGGGATTTTGTGATTCTGTGAACTGGGAAGAAATCATAGAACAAATAAACATTGTGAGCCAAACCTTTGGTCGTATGAATAGTCCCATGTACATCAGCAGTATTTTAGGTGTGAAAGAGGCAAAGAAGAGTAGAGCTGCAAAGTTACAAAGCTCCTATTAGGTTAGCTAAGATGAGAGAAACCTAGGAAAAAAGGGAGCTGTTTTCCTTTGGCATTATCCCAGTGGTGAGACCAAGGTGCTTGAGGAGATGGAAGGCACTGGTCCTGTCCATGGAGGGGGGTAGCCTGTTGTTTTGTCCCAGCCAAAACCTGTTTCCCAAGGTGTGTATCGGAGGTCTGAAAGTCTTTTCATGCAGCTTTACAGCAGTGTGTGCGTGTGTGGATGGCACGGCTGGCATCCAGGGAAAGGCAAAAGTCATTTTTAAATGGCCTGTTGTTGGCCAGGTATTAGTTGTAACTCTCATTCTTATTGCTTGGCTCCACGTAGCTCTTTTTTATGCAGTCAAGAGAGATTCTCTTACCTCCTTTTTAAACCTGAAGTGAAGTAAGGCATCGAGGTTAAACGAACTGCCCAGCAAGACACAGTGGGACACGTCTAATTATGTCTCAATTTAGGAAGGAATTCTGGCTCCAGCCCAGCAAACCAGCTTGAAAAGAGGAAAAAAAAAACAGCTCTAGAGAGGAAAAAAAAACCCTAACACAAATATTGCTGTGAACCTGTAAATAGAGGAGGTGATGCTTTTTTTCAGACCAGGCATTTGCTTTATAAAATGAGTTTGCTGTCTTCCAGAATCCGTCTGTAACCCAAGATTTAACAGCACATGCAACGTGCTTTTTGTAATTGCTACGTGCCTTGTAACCCAGTTCCCTGCTCTGCTCATTTTTGGGACCTCCTGGTGCTGGTTTATGTATCATTTTTCCATATCTCCTGTACCTCAGAGGTAGTGGGAATCGAGTGTAACAACCCAGATTTGGAGATTATGACTGAAAAGGCAACAAAAAAGGGGGCTGCTCTCGCTCCTACAAAAGCGTTTCCCATCTCTGTAACCGGTTCCAGCAGTGGTTGAGGCAGATTGTTTTTACAATCCTTAGATCATAAAATAAGCAGCTCCCTAATCTCCAAAGTCTTTTAACCGCTGCTTTATGAGAAATTAAAAGCACCGTAAAAATTATATTTCAAATTGCATTCAACTCCCCATTTTCAGTCAGATCGCTCCTGGGGGCAGGCAGGAGGAAACCCAGATGCCTGCCCCGTTTGAGGGATCCTCCATCCCAG